TATATATATATATATATATATATATATATATATATATATATATATATATATATATATATATATATATATATATATATATATATATATATATATATATATATATATATATATATATATATATATATATGTATATGTATGTATATGTATATATATATATATATATATATATGATATATATGTATATTTATATATATATATTAGTATGGTTCACACAACGGGTACAATACAAGCAGGTGTGAATGCGCTCAAGACAACGAAGTATAAACCTACAAGTATGGCATAAACAGCACCAACTAAGTACATGCGCACGTGGTTTTCCCCACAAGCTCGTATTGTCTCACTATGAAATTATAATGGTCCAAAAAGTAACAATATCAGCACACGCATACTAAGTACGTAGTGAACCGCTCTCCCAGACACTTTTCCTTCCACCATGACCTTTGTATAGCCTAAGGATGCCATAACACTACACCTAATCAATACACACTGACACCACACATGAGGTACACATACTCGACATTCCAATCAGGCACTTCCCATCAAGACTTTGATATAGCCATAGATAGCTATACAACCAAACCTAACCAAATCACACTGACACCATCACACAAGGTGCATATAGTCACCATTCCCTTTGTGCTCTTCTCCTTCCACTGTGACCCTATAGTAAGACAAGGGTACCCATAACTCCACACCAAACCATATGCACTGACAACACGCACAAGCTACACATACTCAGCCTCCCCTTCGGGTTCCTCTCCTTCCACCATGACCTTGTTGTAGTCAAAGATAGCCATGTCGTCATCGTCGCTGTTAGTGCCTCCCTCGGCCTTCTCCTTCTTCTTGTTTGCGTCCTGCATTTGTTCATCTAACTCGTCTTCATCCTCATCTGTGTGCATTGTAGTTATTTGTACGCGATAAGGTCAGGGGGTTTAAACGTCATCTATGTACATTGTACGTGTTAATTGTACACAATAAGGTTAGGTGGTTTAAACGTCATCTGCGTGCATTGTACGTGTTAATTGTACACGATAAGGTTAGGTGGTGTAAGAGAGAGACAGAACGCGTTCACACGTAAGTGAGAGTTGCGTACGATATACTCCGTAAGCTTCTGCACACGACTATATTGCCCATCCAGATGTGATGAGAGTCCATGACAATCGAGTGAATGTCCTGTCCACTGCGCGTGCCCTGCCCGCGCTTGGTGGTGCTCACATGCGCCTGTTTGTTATGAGCTGTTGCTAGGCAACGGAGCAGGTGCAAGGGGTTGTGTGTGTTGGTGTGCATTGGCTTGGATTGATACGAGCCTAAGCTCACGTTTGTAATTAGCACCCTGTATTTTGTTATTAAAGTATGTGGTGTCCACAATTGAGCAGGCTCCGTGTGTTACATTGAATTGAGTCTGTTCTTGGGCACTCAGACGTAGGCGTGATATAAACAGTATGTGTGTATACATCGGTTCGCATACATTTTCTCGAGAATGGCCCCTCATCACTCCATTCATGCCAATCTCACGCGCATAATTAGCAACCCCAAGCACCTACCAATTAAAAGCTAATAAACGTCGTATATACAGATCAGTACACGCGGATACATATGACTTGTGTACATAAGCATTATATGTGATGCTACACACCTTCGCCACTACTCAAGCCCAAATCGTCGTCGTCGTCATCGTCCAATCCAATATCCTCCTCATTCATGTCATCATCATCCTCATTATCATCCTGATCAAGACCCAAAGAATAATATGATGTCGATCAGTATATAACTGATACATTCAAATATTTATATAAGTGTATGTATGTTATGTATGTATGTAAGTATGTCTTTATGTATGTACGTATGTATCTATGCTTGTATATATTTATACATGTATATATATATATAAATATATATATATATATATATATATATATGTTATAATATATATATATATATATATATAATAAT